TTCCAAATGACTGCAGCACACCAATGGCAGACATACCCCTCAGGGCCCATAGTTTTAAGTAAAAATTTACAAGCACCGCTTTTGTAAACTGACCCACATGGCGACAATTAACAGATCTAATCATTGTTGGCGTTATACAAACTAATTTAAGTTTTCCAGCCAAAATGTTTAACAGTAGAAGCCTACTCATAAATTAGAATACTTAGAATTTATTTTTCAAACTGTACTCCAAGGCAATATAAGGATATTGACCTAAAAAAAGTTGGGGGTCACCAGCCTTATTTTCAAGAAATTTATGATTGTATTTTAGTTGAAAGTCGCCATTTTGACACTGTTATAATTGTTTTACCACAGGTCCCTATGCAGAGATATTATACAATATCTTAAAATTTAGCCTGGTGACATAGGCTGAAAAAATCATATATTGTTAATGATGGAGTACTTTTTAGTCTGAATTATTTAAAAAACCTGGGTTTTAAAGTGTCAAAAACTGAAATTTTTCATTAACATTGTGTTCTACGGAATTGATCTAAAAATAGCAATTTTCAAGAAATATTAGGACACGTTTCTCAAAAAGCATAACTGTAACACACAAAATAATGCTATTTCATTGTACCCTGGGACATTAGCTTCACGATTGTACATAATAAACTAATGAACATTGTCATGCGATTTATGACCAATTTTGTCAAAAATTTAGTAGGCTGAAAAAAAAAATCTCTGTTTCTCGTTTCCGCGCGCATCATTTTGAACTATGCGCCTCCGATGGTTTTTTTTTCCTTCTGAAGCATTCAAAAATGCTCTTATACTCGCACTTGTCTCAAATTACCCCCATTTTAGCTCAGTATTAAAAAAAAAAAAAAAAAAATCGCCTCGCCATTTCCATAAAACGAGAAACAGAGAATTTTTTTTTCCTGGCCTAAACAACATTTTGATTGCTTTTATGACAGCGAAAGACCATTATTCTCATAACCTTTACAAAAATCACCCAAAAGTCTCAAAATTGTTTGCAAGATTTTCTAAAAATCTGAAGTCTGACAAAAGATTACAAACTTATTTGTATATCTGGAGGAATAAAGACTAAAGTATCCAAATTATTTTGAATAATTCTAAATTCAAAATAGTCGCCATAGTAGCGATAAATCAATGCAGTAGACCGTTGCACTGTAAGGTCATTTGTTGTCAACGAGCATACCAATGTTGCTTAGCAACCAAAACGAACTTGTGATCTGCGGTGACAATTACGTTGCCAATAAGTTGTTTCATTAACAAGACCACGTAGAAGAATATTTAATGACAGCAACTGCGAACGCCATTATTGTATTTGCATACTGCGCCAGTATGGCTGCCTTTAATTCAACTCCGACGATTGAGTTATTTAATATTATTACTATACAAGTGTACCTGTTGGTTGTAGACTCACAAAGAAAGGTTTTTACATCAAAACATTGGTAACCCTATTCTACAATGACCTTTTCTGACCTTTTCTGCGCACTGATGGACATACAGACGTAATCGTGTGATATAATATGAAAACTTGGTCATGTTATTTGGATTTCACAATTTCTCAAAAACCAATAAAAATACAAGTAACTGATAAAAGGGAGCAATCTCGAGTTACCGTAGATGCTCCGATTGGCTGAGAGGTTATAAACATGTTAGCCAATAAGATTAGCTGTTACATTTGGTCAGAGTTAACAGCATTCCATTTGATGAGCTCTTCTTTATGTAACTGCCATTCTGATTTGCGTGTCAGCTCCACACACCCCTGATCAAATTCCAGAGTTGCCTTGTCTTCATCAGACGTTACTGAGATGTTGCTTGACTGAACCGCAGCCACCTCATCTGACATTGCATCCACAGTGATGTGTTCAACTAGCGTATTTCTGGAATGCAAGTTGCCGCATGGTAAAATAGAAGTAACTTCACTTGCGCACTGAGACAGATCGTCGGCCGTACAGAAGCTGCTACCGTCAGCTATCCCTTCATCTTCCGAGATGGTCAGGTTGTTTTCTTTACACGTTAATGAGGTGTCCTGCTCCCAGTCCATCATCGTGCCATCGTTGGCCACTGTACCTTCGTACATCACCTCTGCCGACTTATCCCAGCAGGTCAGCGGACTGGCCTCGTAATTATGATCATCCAAATGCGATCTGTCTGCGTAGACAGATGTGTCCAGCGTTTCAGCGTCCATCTGAAGTGTTTCCACCGTGGCACTGTTTTCGTCACCGATCTTGACGTTCTCTACCA